CCTCAGCCCGTTTTCTGGTGGGTTGGAGGGGGTGCAGTGCCCACCCCAGGTCTAGGGCTTGTGCTGATACCTGCTGTCTTCTCTTCTAGGAGTTATGAAGACATGCTGGTGGATGAAGTGGCCCCCGACCGGTACTACTGGGCCCCTCTGGCTCAGCACGAGCGGGGTAGCTTGGCTAGTCTGGACAGCCTGCGGAAGGGAGGTCCGGCCCCAGGTAACTGGCGCCAGCCAGAGCTGCCGGAGGTAATAGCCATGCTGAGCTTCCGGCTGGATGCTGTCAAGTCCAACGCGGCCGCCTACCTGCAGCACCTCTGCTACCGTAATGACAAGGTGAAGACGGAGGTGCGCAAGCTGAAGGGCAAAAAAGCTAGACCACCCCAAGAAAGAGGTGCACTATGGTGCCTGTGGAGCCCTAAAGAACATCTCCTTTGGCAAGGACCAAGACAATAAGATTGCCATCAAGAACTGCGATGGGGTACCTGCTCTGGTGCGCCTGTTGCGGAAGGCCCATGACATGGACCTCACAGAGGTCATCACAGGTAATGGCTCCAGGGAGGAGAGGAGGGGCTAATCTGTTGGGCGAGGAATGCACAGTGTGGGTTTTTAAGCCCACGTGGTCTGATTTGATCGCCTCCCACTTGTGGCTTTTCAGGAACACTGTGGAACCTGTCATCACACGACTCCATCAAGATGGCCATTGTGGATCATGCCCTACATGCTCTGACCAACGAGGTTGTTATTCCCCGCTCAGGCTGGGAGCGAGAACCCAACGAGGACTCGAAACCCCGCCACATCGAGTGGGAGTCAGTGCTCACCAACACTGCTGGCTGCCTTAGGTATGGGAGGGGGCTCTACCAGCCATTGGCAGAGAGCTGGCGTGGGTTGGGGCTGCTGTAATGCTCCTTCCTGGCAGCTTTCTGGGACTGCCAGGGGAGGTCTGCAGAGGAGCTGCTGTCCTAGGACAGCTACTGGTGATGCAGTCCTTGATTCTGGAGGAGTTTTCCTCAGTGGAGGGGAGCTACAGGAGGTTTTTCTCTGGCTTGAGCTGTGCTGGGTGTGGGCTGCTGCTCGCCTGACCTCAGCTGTCTCTCCCATGATGGTTCTCTCCTGCCTGCCAGGAACGTGAGCTCAGAGAGGAGCGAGGCCCGTCGGAAGCTGCGGGAATGCGACGGGCTGGTGGATGCTCTGATCTACATTGTCCAGTCTGAGATTGGCCAGAAGGACTCTGACAGCAAGGTACCACAGCAGGGGTGTTGTCTGGGCACACACAGAGCTCTGCCCTTGTCAACCAACTGTAGCAGTGCTCTGCTGTTCGTGGTGGCAGAAGCTGGGTTCGTACCAAGATGGATGAAGAATGGACGGGGGGAGTCTTCACCAAGGAGAGATTTGGTCTGGCATTACTAGCTTGGGAAAACCCAGTCCAGGCTCATGCATTTGCACAATCTCTGCTTGGGAAGAGAGAGGCTGCGTGGGGTGTGACCTGTGTACTGTTTGACCAGGTGGTGTCTGGCACTCAGCCTGCAGTTTGCAATAGGAATGCGAGCCCTCCAACGGGGATCTACTGATGTCGCTCATCCCCACGCTGGTATCCCCTGGCCCAGGGCTCCCTGACCTGCCTTGACAAGGCGTTTGAATTAAATATTCCTCGAGCCTTGTCCTTGGACCTTTCATGCTTATGGCAGAGAGATTTTTGGCCCAGCAGAATATGAACTCATGCCTGCAGAACTGGCCATGCCTGCTTTGAGATGGGGGTATGCTCCAGCTCTGTCTGAGTTGGAGCTGCATATCCCCCGATCCCAGTTCAGACCCCATTGGCCTGGCTCTGGGTTGCAAGCTGTGACGGGGCCCTCGCTCAGAGTCATGGGATGGGCATGTGCTGCTCCCAAGTCAAGCTATCTGGTTTTCTGTCTAGCTGGTGGAGAACTGTGTGTGCCTGCTCAGAAATTTGTCCTACCAAGTCCACCGTGAGATCCCCCATGCCGAGCGCTACCAGGAGACACCTCTGGCCCCTGCCAACAGCACCGGGCCCCATGCTGCAAGCTGCTTTGGTGCCAAGAAGGGCAAAGGTTCGTTGGGTAGCAACAGCATGGAGGGAGATGGGCTTAAAGACGGATCTACTACAGTGGAGCTTGAGGGGGGGTTCTGAGGTCTCTGTGCTCCTACTCCAGTGTCTCTTGTGTGAAGGCTAAACTGCTGCTTTCTCTGGAGGTGCAGTGGTCCATGCTTCCCCTGGCTTTGGGAGCTACTGCTTGGCTTACCGAAAGCATTTGACACAAGCTAATGGTGGGTTTCTGTGGTGGCGGGATGGTGATGGATAGATGTCCACTAACTCCACACCTTCCCTTTTCTCCTGTGTTGCCCCTTCCCCTTCCCTTTGCTTTCTTGCCAAATGATCTGCCCCATGATGCTGTCGGCACCTCTCTCCTCCTGCCTCCCCTCTCTCCTGTCCTTCTCTCCGCTTCGCCAATAGACGAATGGTTCTCCAGAGGTGAGTGTGCTCTTGGTTTTAATTTTTCCATGGTTTGATTGGGTGCTTTCTCTAGCTCTCTTTGGCCTCCCCCCACCGCCCCGAGCTGGGCACGTACTGCCTGCCCTGTGGCGAATGCCCTTGACACGCCCTCCTGGGACATGCTGGTAGCTTAGCTTCAGCTCGCCTCTAGGCTTGTTCTTGTAGCAAGTGGCAAAGGGCTGTTGGGCTGAGATGGGTAGGGAGAGGAGGTGTCTTATGCCTCTCCTTGCCCTTTGAAGGTAAAAAGCTCCCAGAAGACCCTGGTGCCGATACAGTGGATTTTCCCAAAAGAACAACTCCAGCCAAAGGTATGTTCCTTGGTGTGTTTGCACTGGGCTTGGGTGTGCAGAGCTGCTTTTCCACATGCAGTCCAGGAGAGGAGTGTGTGGAGTTGATTTCCCTTTGAAGTGAACCTCTCAAATGGGCAGAGGCTTGGTTTGGGGGAGGTGTTCCTGGTTGCCCAGGTGCTTGTTAAAACACTAGCTCTGCCACAGACAGTTATGAGGATGCTTGTTTTGCTTGGAGGAGGTCAGTGCTGCCTCAAGACAGGCTTCCTAGGGCATGGTGATATAGCCCTAGGAAGGGTAGCCTTCTCTAGTAGTCTCAAAGTTCTCAGCACAATTGCCGCCTTGCCTGCTCTTCTCCTGGGCCTGGAGAACAGGCAGGATTTAAAGCCAAAAACACCTTACCTTAAAGTGTTCTCCAGCATGAGCATGAGGAAGGGTCATTCCAAGAAGCCTCTGGGGACAAGCGGCTCGCTGCCTAGAAGGCTGTGAATCACAGTCACTCTCTGCCTGGCCAAGCAGTGGGTGTTAGCCTGGGGCTTGAGTTCAGCTCCTTCTGCCCCAAAACACCCTGTGGTTCCTGGGAGGACCCTGATGCTCCTAGGGGTATGAAGAGTCAAGCTAGAAGAATCACGGGGAAACTTAAGACAGACCTGACCTTGTGAGCAGCTCAAATATGCAGTGATGGCTCCTCAGGCTGACCTGGGCTGTAGGAAGAGTTGGCACCCATCTCTGGTGGAAGCCCAAGAAGCCATCTGCTCTGTCTTTGGGGGCTGGGGACATCCCTCACCACAGCTAGGGACAGACAACACGATGGAAAACTCAGCCTCACAACTGTAAACTGCAGTCTCACCACTGCTTTAGAAGTCACTTCTGGGCGTATGTTTCCATGGAAAAGAGTAAATACTTGAAGGCCTGATTCCTACCTGCTTGCTAGAGTAGTGGAGAGCTAGGGACCTGATGCCTTCAGTCTCTGAGGATGAGCTGAACGCAAGCTTCTTCAGTGTGGTGTTGGTGGCCACTTGCTTGAGGTGTTTATTCTCCCTCCCCCTGAGAGTGTGGACTGAGCCTTTTGCTACCACCGTGCCCGGCTGCCGAGTTTGCTGCCCCACCATATGCCCTTGCCTGGGTTGGGTACTTCTCAGCCAGGTGCGTACTGAAATCGAAGTCCCCTTGCTGATGACAGGGGTGCTGCGGCTCAGCCCAAACCTCTTCTGAGCTGCAGGGGTGCACTGGGGACTGCGGGCAGCAGCCATGGCATCCCTGATCAGGGATGGTGCTGAGGGCTGGGGTTTCTGGTACAGAGGGGCAGCCTGACCCGCTCTGTAGCGAGGATCCAGCCTCCAGGGAGCAGTGAGCCTGGGTAAAAGCTTCCAGCCTTGTCTGCCCAGCAGTGCTTCTTTGAATTAGCCAGATGTTAGCAGAGCCCTTGAGTAAGTCCTTCCTACCTGTGTTCTCCTGGCAGGCTATGAGCTCCTCTTCCAGCCAGAAGTTGTCCGGATATACATCTCCCTTCTAAAGGAGAGCAAGACTCCAGCCATCCTAGAAGCTTCAGCATGAGCCATTCAGAACCTGTGTTCTGGGAGCTGGACGGTGAGTGCCTTGCGGAGCTGGCCGTGTCCACGTTCATCTGTGGTGCAGGGCTGGGGGCCTTGGGGTACCAGCAGAGCCGTAGATAGCCAAGGCTCTGCTGTTTCAGGCTGTTCACTTCGTGCATGGCTCACTGCCCAAAGTACTGTTCAGCAGCACAGTTCAGGTGTGAACCAGATGTGTCCTGTGCTCTTAAGGGCTCTGTGCTCCCAGCCAGCTGTGTCTTCTGAAGGGCTGCCTGTCTGTGTCCCTGCCTGCAGCCAGGTCCCTGCCATTCCTTCCCTTCTGTAGGCTGGGGGCAGGGGATGAAGGTTTGGGGCTGCTCTACAGCCCCTTGACCTGCATTCTCTTGGTGTGTATGGAAAGACCACCTGGGAAATCTTGCTTGCCTGGCCTGCAGTGGGGCTTCAAGACAGCAATGGGACCTTTGCAGTCTGTCTCACTGTGGGTGTAGCCAGGACCCTCAGTTCCCAAGATGAGTCGGTGGCAAGGCTCCCAGTGGTGTCCCCAGCCCCAGGAGCAGGGAGAGACTGTGCCTGCCCAGGTGACACTCTGGTGCTCTGCCTCTCCCCTGCAGTATGGCCGGTACATCCGCTCGGCGCTGCGCCAGGAGAAGGGACTCTCTGCCATTGCTGACCTCCTGACCCATGACAGCGAGCGAGTGGTGAAAGCAGCATCTGGAGCTCTGCGCAACCTGGCTGTCGACTTGCGTAACAAAGAGCTGATAGGTGAGGGCTGCGGATGAGAGGATGTCATGCTCTCTGTATCTGGGTTAGGCACGAACTTCCTCCTGATCTTGGCAGCTGAGGAAGTGTATGGGGCATGGCATCAGCCCAGTGTCTGTCTACTGCTCCTCTCCCAGCACAGCATGTGCTGAGCTCCACTGAGAAGAACATCAAAATTGGTCACCTGTCCTTTATCCTTCTGCAGTGATTTTTTTTTGTTGTTGTTGTTTTTGTTTTTTCACCCTTGCAGTCTTCTTCCTCGCTTGCTCATGCCCAGCTCTTTTCCACTTCCCAGGTAAACATGCCATCCCCAACCTAGTGAAGAACCTGCCTGGAGGCCAGCAGACCCCAGCCAAAAACCTCTCTGAGGACACAGTGGTGTCAATCCTCAACACCATCAATGAAGTAATTGTGGACAACCTTGAGGCTGCCAAGAAGCTGCGGGAAACACAGGGGATTGAGAAGTTGGTGCTGATCAACAAATCTGGGTAGGCTCTGCTTGAAGGATAATGTAAGGGACAGAGAGGGGCTTCTCCAGGAGCTTCCTCAAGGCAGTGGGTATTTCCAAACATCATCTCCTTCACCTCTTCCTAGGAACCGCTCAGAGAGAGAAGTCCGAGCAGCTGCCCTCGTCTTGCAGACAGTCTGGGGGTATAAAGAGCTGCGGAAGCCCCTTGAGAAGGAAGGCTGGAAGAAGTCAGATTTTCAGGTATGGGGATGGCTTGTTGTGGCTGGGGTAGTAGGTAGGGTCCTGCAGCAGGAAGAAAGGTGTTCCTGGAGCTCAGCAGTACTGGATTTCAGCTCTTACCTTGCTGGTGGGATTGGAGACCCTTGAAGGTGTCCCCTCTGCCATTTCTCAGCAAGTAGCTGGCAGGAAGTCTCTACTGAGGAAGAGATGTTCTGTAAAGCTTTAAGCCCTGTGTCCCACAGGTAGGCGTGCAGATCTGCAGGCAGGAAAGTTTGCAGCACTAAAAGCTACTACAGTAGTGCTGAAAGAACAAGGTTCTCCAGGGCTCAGTTTCTTTCCCAAAAGCTGGGACTGTCCTTGCTTCTTAAGGGCTGGGTGCTCTCCTGACCCAGTCCAGGCAGGCTGCCTCCACTCTGTAACGTAGGTACAGCTGTGGGCTCTGGAGCACCCTCTGGTTGCTTCAGGCCCCTTGCTCAAGGGCTGTGGGAGGGTTCCTGGGTCCGTCCTGGTGTTGGGGGCTGGAGAGGTGGGATGTACTATGGGGAAGGGATGTCTGGGCCAGGGTGTGAGTGGTCACTCTCTGATGTTCCAGGTGAACCTGAGCAATGCCTCTCGGACCCAGGGAGGCAACTCGTTTGATGACAGCACCTTGCCTCTCATTGACAGGAACCAAAAAACAGGTATGTGTCTTCCCTTCAGCATTTGCTCCCGCTGTCATCCTTCCACCTTATGGGTACCCAGAACAGCTAGCCTTTGTCCCATCCCTGCTCTTCAGCCCTGGCTTTCTTGGCCGCCACAGCTGCTCACACAAGGCCATCAGTTTGGGCTTCAAGTGGCTTCTCAGGGCTAGAAATTGTGCATACAGTTAACATAGGTCCTGTAGCATCCTTGGGTCAACAGTGCTGCAGCTGGGTCTGGGCTCCTCTAGCTGGGGTAGGCAGTGGTTCCTCTGCTGCTTGTGGCTGCAGGCGCCGTGTCTGATCTGCTCTCCTGTGCTTGTAGACAAGAAATCTTCCCGGGAGGAGATCCAGATGAGCAACATGGGACCAGGTAGGAGGGAGTGGAATGGGGGCATCTTGCCTCCTTGGTATGCTGGGAGTGGGCAGGGCTCATATCTGTGGGGCTGACGCTGCCTCCTATGGAGGTGACGTGACTGACTGTCCCCTCTCCTGCTCCAGACAACTATTCCACACTTAATGAGAGGGACCACAGCAGAACACTGGACCGAACTGGTGACCTTGGAGATACGGAGCCGGTGAAGGCAGTGCCATTGATGGTAAGCAGCTCTTCCTGATGAGGGAAGACTGAGCAGGACTGGGGTGCAGAAGATGACACATCACTGTCCTGGCTGGCAGGAGGAGGGGAGAACTGGGCTCCCACAACTAACACCCCTTACTCCGTTCCATCACCTCTACTAACCCCTGTGTGTCTGCAGCAGGAGGAGGGGCAGGAATCGCAGCCTGAGGTGGAGGAGGATGCTGCCATGTTTTCCCCTGTGTTGGTATGTCCCACAGTGTCCTGCCCAATCTGAACAGTGGTGACGGATCCTGCTGTGCTGTTAAGGGTGCTTTGGCCAGCCAAATTCTGCTCTGATAATTGCTGCCTGATCCATTGGGACCATGATCATGCCTCCATTGCTCGCTCTCTGGGCATGCTAACATCTCTCCCTCTTCTCTCCACAGCAGAAGATCTAGCTGATGTCCCTGCCTCCACTCAGCTTGGGTTGATAATATATTATATATATAAATATATATAACTCTTCATGGTGGAATGGACCGACTTTTACCTTGTCTTATTTCTGGATTTTTTGCTGGACTGTTTGTGCCAACTAGCCAGCCAAATGACTGGGTCTGATCCCCCAGGGGCAGCCTGGGCCACTCTGCCTCCTCTAGACCACTGCACCTCCCTGTTCTGGGACACCTCGACTGATAACTCTTCTTCCCTGTCTTCTACCACCTCCTTCCTCCAAAGAGTAAAACCCTCCTGCCTGACTCTGCTGGATTGACTGGCCTGGATGCTGCAAAAGGAATCCGTATCTCTGCCTTGACCAGGAACTGCCTTCTCTCCCATGCCTTCCGTCTGCTCAGAGATGTCTGCAGGGACAGAGACTGAGACCTCACTTGACACATTTTTGTTTTGTTTTGGGTGTTTTGTTGCCTATAGGATATATTTTTTGTGCGGGATCACTCTTCAACCAGGACCGTGGGGACAACAGGAGCATGCCTCCCTGGTGGTGGTGGGACCAGGCTGAGGGGGGTGGAGTCATGGAGGGACTGAGAGGAAGGAAAAACAGCAATAACTTCTCTTGCTTTGCTCTAGATGAGGCTTTGGGGGCATGGGAAGGGGGATCTGGCTCTGGATCCTGTGGAGGGGTCTGGATGGGGCTGCTGACTCTGACCTGGTGACTGTGTGAGGAGGGATCCTTATGTGGGGAAGACGG